TCTAGGATGTATTCTAGACAGAAATTTCCGTCTAGGATACCTGGTCATTTAAAAAAAATAAATTATCTAGAATACTATCCTAAACAGAAATTTTTATCTAGAATGTTTTATCCTAGACGGAATATTCTAGACGGAAATTTTCCGTCTAGTTTAATACAAACTAGACGGAAAATTTTTCGTCTAGAATATTCCGTCTAGGATACACGATTTTCTACTAGTGATATATTTGTGTCTAATATTTAAAACATCTGTAACATTCAAAATAAAACAAGACTGGTCAACCTACTGAGGAAACTATAGAAATTCTTCGAAGAACGTCCTCTTAGGACAACCCCTGCGCCTCAAGTCCGCAAATGTCCTAGCTTATCCTCCTATGATAAACCCTGAGCACTAGAAGGAGAAGCATGAGTAGCTGTAGGAGAACGAGCATAAGTCGATGGATTAATAGAAAGCTGAGAAACCAAAGCATGTCAAGTGAAAGAAAGCTGATCAGTAGAAGGTTGAGGAGTTGGAGCAGGAAGAGCGCTGTAGGAATTCCTTGTAAAGTAATAGCGGTGCATGAGTGAAAGAGAACGAGGGAGAGTGTGTACGTATCTGTATATGTAAGTGTGTATATGTATAAGTATGTAGGTTTATGTGAATGTGTGTATCGATTCAAACCCATCGGTTGAACACATTCAAATATAAATAGTACACATACATTCATTCAAAAGCTTCAACTGAGCTGAATCACAGCAAGTTAGTGTATATATGCATTACATTCAAAGGCCAAAATGGTCGTGCACTTGATTGCATCCAAATTTTATTAAGTGCTTGCAGAATCTTTTGCAAGAGATTACTAGTTTTAGAAACATCTTTGAGCAAAATGATATCGAATATTTCTGATTGCTAGTATGGCTGAATGATGTTTTTACCAAAATCATGTCTAGCGTATATGACTACCGGTTAAGATTTATCTATCCCTTCCTTTGTTGGTATACGATAGCTTTTGTGCAAATTTGTAACCTGGATGTAATGGTCCACACATGTACAGATTCGTCTTGGACCCTGATAGACAAATATAACATGCCTTCATCGCACGTCTATATGCCAACAACAGTCGTGTTTCTTTTCCCTTTATAGACATTTCAACCAGTATAAAACATAAACAAAGGTGATGTGGGTCACATCTGTACAAGTCTCTAACTTTACGTGCCACTCACCTTAACATGAATTAAAACTGCAGAATAACAACTTCACCTTGAGCTTAAAGGGAATTGTTGCAGCAGAGGGGCTTCACAGACACAAAAAAAGTCTATACAAGAGTGGATAAAGAGAACAACATACAAGGATTTAACATGATTCAATTAGTATGACCTACATCCACGGGCGAGAACAACAGCGAACTTCACTAATCATCAAAAGAGAAGATTACAAAAAAGGAGATTGTTGGAATATCAAATTAAAATGTTAGAATAAATGAGGTTAATAGCATGAGTTTTAGAAGTGCAATGGTCATAAGTTTAGAAGAGGAAGAGACATATGGTATGGAAGAATAAGAGTAACTTACTCATTTATGATATTTATCTTTATGGCAATAAAATAGGAGTTTAATTTGTGACTATTGGTATGTCTAGACATTTTTATTTTGAAGCCTATATAAAGGGCTATTGTAATCCTTGTTTGACATGAAGAAAGAAAATTGTAGAAATATAAGTGAGTTCTTTGTCTTCATTTGAGAGAGTTCTTAGTTCGTAAACTTAAGAGTCAATAGTGGTATCAGAGCCACTCGATCCAAATTTCCCATTCTCTCTTCTTCTCATGGCTACCACAAATAATCTTGTCAATCCTCAAGTGCCCAAATTATTGAACGATAACTATGAGAGTTGGTCAATCCAAACGAGAGCCTTATTTGGTTCTCAAGAGTTGTGGGAGCTAATCATTGATGGGTTCACGGAACCTACACTAGAAGTAGAAGCCACCTACACCGCCGAAGAGAAGAAGGCTCTCAGAGAGCAAAGAAAGAAGGATAGCAATGCTCGTTTTCTACTCTATCAAGGGTTGGACGAGTCTACCTTTGAGAGAGTTGTTGAAGCAACGACGAGCAAGGAAGCATGGGAAATCCTTGCGACCATCTACGAATTCGCCTCCAAACTTTGAGGGGCGATCTTGAAGCGGCTCAAATGAAAGATAAAGAACAAATCTCCGATTATTATTCATGATTACTTCTAATTGTGATTAAAATAAGGAGAAATGGAGAGAATATGGAGGACATCCGAGTGATGGAGAAGTTGCTCCGATCCCTCACATCAAAATTCGAGCACGTGGTGGCGGCAATTGAGGAGTCAAAGAATTTGGAGGAGATCTCAATAGAGGAGCTCTTAGGATCTCTCCAAGGTGGCGGCAATTGAGGAGTCAAAGAATTTGGAGGAGATCTCAATAGAGGAGCTCTTAGGATCTCTCCATGTTCATGAACAACGAGTGTAAAAGAAAGCTAGTTTCATAGTTTTAGAGCAAGTACTAGAGTCAACATTGACTCTAAGTAATCAAGGTTCACAAGGAAGAGGTCGTGGTCGTGGTAGAGGCAGGGGACGTGGTCCCCAACAGTAAACCACTCAAAATCAAGTGGAGACCCAAAGCTTTATAGGACGAAGACGAAGCAATCGTGAAAGATCCACATCTGGGCGTGAAAGCAACAAGAATGTTCAGTGCTATAACTGTCACAAGTTTGGGCACTATGCTTTAAATTGTTTGCACAAAACTAAAGACCAAACTAATCTTGCCGAAAAAACAAATGATGTGGGTAACAACTCTATGCTTCTTCTTGCTAATGATGATTCATGTGTAGAGAATGATGCTTGGTACCTTGACTCGGATGCTAGCAACCACATGTGCGGGAAGAAAGAACTTTTCATGGAACTCACAGAAGGAGTTCATAGAAGTGTGAGCCTCAGAGATTCTTCAAAACTCCTGGTTAAAGGCAAAGGGAAGATTAAAATCTACCAAAAGGATGGTAAGCCCAAGTATATTTCTGATGTTTACTATATTCCTAACATGAAAAGTAATATTCTTAGCATCGGTCAATTACTCGGAAATGGATACAAAGTATATATGGAGAACAACCATCTTTGGTTGAAATTTGCAAATGGAGGCCTCATAGCTTGTGTTAAGATGACAAGGAACCGCATGTTTCCCTTGCATCTAAACACGAAAGTCGATAAGTGTTTTCAAGGAATCGTAGAGAATGAGTCATGGAGGTGGCATCTTCGATTCGGTCATCTAAACTTTAGCGGTTTGAAGTTACTGTCTACAGCTAGCATGGTACGAAGTCTACCAACAATTGATCCACTGAATCATATCTGTAAAGGTTGTGTAATTGGCAAGCAATCATGACTTTCTTTTCCAAGTGAAAAATCATGGAGAGCAAAGGCATCATTGCAACTTGTTCACACCAACATCTGCGAGCCAATCGATCCCGCCTCTTTGGGAAGTAATAGATATTTTATAACCTTCATTGATGACTTCAGTAGAAAGTTGTGGGTGTACACTCTTAAAGAAAACTCTGCTGCCTTTACTACATTCAAACATTTTAAAGTTTTAGTTGAAGCAGAGAGCGGCCACAAGCTAAAAATTCTTTGATCTGACCGAGGTGGTGAGTACACCTCAAATCTATTTCAGGAATATTGATGGGAGCAAGGTATAAAAAGACAGTTTACTACTGTCTACACACCACAACAAAATAGCATTATAGAAAAAAAGAACCGGACCATCCTCGACATGACAAGAACCATGCTCAAAGAAAATGGATTGCCAAAGCAGTTCTGGGCAGAAGCCGTGGCGTGCTTAACTTATTTGCTCAACCGATGCCCCCAAAGATAGTGAAGAACAAGACACCTCAAGAGGCATGGAGCAGTTACACGCCTAGTGTGGCACACCTACGGAATTTTGGTTGTGTTGCGTATGCTCAAGTACTTGAAGTCAAAAGGAAGAAGCTTGACAATCACGGTGAAAAATGTATTTTCATCGGATATAGCAAGGAGTCGAAGGCATACAAGCTCTAAAATCCACTAACCAAGAAACTAGTTGTTAGTAGAGACGTTGTCTTTAATGAAGAAGAAGCATGGAACTGGAGCAATGAAGATCAATCCGTGGTGAATGAACCTGATGAGTCTCTACATGAGGAACCATCACTAGCTACACCACCATCTCCTCCACACTATACACCCTCTCCTACAAGAGGTTCTCCATCTTCTAGGGAAGGTAGTAGCAGCAGATCTATCGTGCAATGAGGTCCCATCAAAATGAGAAGCCTCAGGGAGATCTATGAGCAGATAGAAGAAGACGAAGAGTCAAATCTCTTTTTATTATATGCTGATCAAGAACCTCTCACTTTTCAAGAAGCCGTAAAAGAAGATTATTAGTGAATAGCAATGGAGGAGGAGATCCATGCCATCCAAAAGAATGATGCTTGGGAGTTGACAACTCTTCCACAAAATCACAAGGCAGTCAAGTGGGTGTACAAGATCAAGCGCACAGCAAATGGTGAAGTTGATCAGTACAAGGCGAGGCTTGTAGCGAAAGGTTACAAACAAAAATACGGCATCGATCATGAAGAAGTCTTTGCTCCGGTTGCTCGACTAGATACGATGAGACTATTAATTTCACTTTCAGCTCATCACAGGTGGAATATATATCATTTAGATGTCTAGTCAGCATTCCTCAATGGTGTTCTTAAGGAAGAGGTGTACGTGCAACAACCAAAAGGCTTTCTTGTGAAAGGGCAAGAAGACGAAGTGTACCATTTAAAGAAACCCTTGTATTGCTTAAAGCAGGCACCATGGGTGTGGAACGCCCGAATTGATGGCTATCTTCATCAAAACGACTTCATTAAATGTCCCTATGAACATGCCATCTACATAAAGAGGAACCATAAAGGCGAATTTCCAATGATTTGTCTTTATGTTGATGATTTATTGTACACAGGAAGCAGTATCTAGATACTTGCTGAATTCAAGGCAACAATGTTTAATGAATTTGAGATGACGGATAATGGATTGATATCCTATTTTCTTGGCATTAAAGTGAAGCAGCAACAAGAGGAGATTTTTATATCCCAGAAGAAGTACATGAAAGATATCTTAGAGAAGTTCAAGATGAATGAATGCAACCCTATGAACGCCCTAGTAGCCATCATAATGAAGCTACCAAGAGAAGGAGACGGATGTTTCGTGGATTCAACTCTTTTCAAAAGTCCAGTTGGCGGCTTGAGATACTTGACGATCACAAGGCCCGATATTACTTATGGAGTCGGACTTGTGAGTCGCTATATGGAGACACCGAATGAGCCTCATTGGCTAGCTGCGAAGAGGATACTAAGGTATATCAAAGGCACACTCAACCTGGGTCTCTTCTATATATATGATGAAAATGCACAACTAGTTGGTTACTCAGATGGTGACTGGGGAGATGATCAAGATGAGAGGAAAAGTACCACATGCTATGTCTTTTATCTTGGGTCAACTGCATTTTCATGGACCTCAAAGAAGCAAGGAGTTATAGCTTTATCTTCATGTGAAGCAGCGTATGTGGCGGCTGCATCTACAATATGTGAAGCAATTTGGTTGCGAAACATACTAAAGGAGTTGGATCATCCACAAGAAGACTTGACCATAATTTTTGTGGACAACAAATCAGCCATCTAGCTTGTAAAGAATCCAGTACATCATGGGAGGAGAAAACACATAGATACACAGTTTTATTTTTTCAGAGACCATGTAAATCAGAAAATCATTGAACTGAAGCATTGTCACACCACTGAACAAGTAGCAGACATATTCACCAAGCTATTATCAGGTGAAACTTTCATGAGGCTAAGAGACATGCTTGACATAAAGACATTTTGATTTGAAGGGGCGTGTTAGAATATCAAATTAAAATGTTAGAATAAATGAGGTTAATACCATGAGTTTTAGAAGTGCAATGGTCATAAGTTTAGAATGGGAAGAGACATAGGTTATGGAAGAATATGAGTAACTTACTCATTTATGATATTTATCTTTATGACATTAAAATAGGAGTTTAAATTGTGACTATTGGTATGCCTAGACGTTTTTATTTTGAAGCCTATATAAAGGGCTATTGTAATCCTTGTTTGATATGAAGAAAGAAAATTGAAGAAATATAAGTGAGTTCTTTGTCTTCATTTGAGAGAGTTCTAAGTTCGTAAATTAAGAGTCAACAGAGACCACTCTCTAACCAGATACTCTCATAAAGAAAGGGACAAAACTTTTCTATCTCACTCTCTTCTCTCTCTATTTTCTTTTTCTAACTGATACCTTAAACCCTCTCCCCACAACCCCCTTTATATAGCCATAAGAAAATAATAAAAAATGGAAAAGGGTTGGTGAGGTCTGACAAATAGGCAGTTAATTTTGAAAACTAATCACAAATTAGGTAGATACAGACATTTTCAAAGTCACGTTTCTCACAAATCTTCACCTTGACTTTAAAAATGAAGATCTTCTCTTTACTCTTGCTGTCTCGCCAGAAGCCCCTTACGGGCTTAACCTCCACTTTGTTGAACTCCAAGCAATTCGAGACAATGCTCGAACTTGTGCGAAGGAACATGCTTCATCATCATATTTGCTGGATTTTCTACAGTACCAATTTTCTCAATCCTGTTAACTTTTCTGATAAAATGATATCTGACATCTATATGTTTTGTTCTTTCATGATACATCTGATGTTTCGTCAAATGTATAGCACTCAGGGTGTTGCAAAACACCGTAATAACACCTTGGTATAAGCAGAGATCTTCAACCAAACCTCTCAACCAAATAGCTTCTTTCGCTGCTTCTGTCACTGCCATATACTCTGCCTCTGTGGTAGATAAAACAACTGTCGACTGTAAAGTCGCCTTCCAACTAATGACACTACCTGAAAGAGTGAATATATAACCTGTCAAGGATCGTCTCTTATCCAAATCACCAGTATAATCTGAATCAGAATAGCCAATTATTCTGCAATCTGAGTCTGTGTTTCTGCCAAAATACAAATCAATATTAGCAGATCATTTCAAATATCTAAGTATCCATTTCATAACCTGCCAATGGATCTTTCCAGGCTTATCCATGTATCGACTCATAACATTGAATGCATGTGAAATATCTGGACGGGTGCAGACCACCGCATACATAATGCTTCCAACTACACTCGCATAAGGAACACAAGACATGTACTGCTCCTCCTCCTCCTTAATCTGAGGTGATAAATCTACTAAAAGATGAAAATGAGCAGCAAGCGGAGTCTTCATAGGCTTGTTATCAAGCATGCCAAATCTCTCTAACACCTTTTTGATGTATTTCTCCTAAGATAGGAATAAACTTCCTTCTTGCCTATTCCTGTGGATCTCCATCCCCAAAATCTTCTTTGCTGCTCCCAAGTCCTTCATCTCAAACTCATGTTTTAATTAAGATTTTAAGTCGTTGATTTCTGACATATCTTTAGCTGCAATCAACATGTCATCAGCATACAAAAGCAAATACACAAAAGAATCATCATTGAGCTTTTATGATAAACACAACTATCATATTTACTCCTAGAATAACCACGCTCAAACATGAAAGTATCAAATCTCAAATACCACTGCCTCGAAGACTGTTTTAATCCATAAAGATATTTCTTTAACCTGCACATATGGTCTTCTTTACCTTCAACAATGAACCCATCTGGCTGATACATAAAGATCTGCTCCTCAAGCTCGCCATGTAGAAAAGTTGTCTTAACATCAAGTTGATCAAGCTCCAAAGTAAAATGAGCAACCATAGCAAGCAACACGTGAATTGAGGTATATTTTATAAATGGAGAGAATACTTCATTGAAGTCCACACCTTCGGTCACACTGTAGCCTTTAGCTACTAAACATGCATTGTACCTTATAGAATCTGTATCCGGAGTTCTTTCTTTCTTCTTGAAGACCCATTTATAGCCAACAATCTTCTATCCCCTTGGTGGCTTCACTAGCTCCCATGTCTAGTTCTTGTGAAGAGACCCCATCTCTTAAGTCATCGCAACAGTCCAATTTGCAGTCTCATTGCCACTAATAGCCTCCTTATAGGTAGAAGGATCTGGAACCTCAATCGATTCTGTTATACTCAAAGCGTTAGCAAGCATGTCTGCATAGTATTGAGGAGGTCGGATCAGCCTTTTTGTTCTCCCGATGGCAATATTATACTGTTGCTCTTGCGGTGTATTAGCATCTGAAGTTAAACCTTCCGCAGTATCAACTGGTTCAACATGAGCGCCCTCAAGCACTTTCTTTAAAGTTGAGCTCTCTAGCTCCACCTGCTTGATAGACTCCTTTTTGTTGGCCTCTTTGTTTTGATGATGTTTAACAAATAATTTACCACTAATGTTATTTGTCTAGTGTTTGTACATTCTTATGTATTGTAGACAAACAACGTAGTTGGAGGATGGATGGATTAGCACTTCAACGACGATATCAAAAGGAGGTTGGCGGAATTGTGGAGTGAAGCATCGTACAATCTAAGTTCAAGATCCAAGTTTAGCTTCATCTGCAACATGTACCAAGTTGAGCTCAATGAAGATCAAGATCAAGATTGGGTAATTTAGTTTAGGATTTATATTATGTGTGTTAAGTACTCTAAGCTCAATTATCTACACACACGATTTATTGGTTTCTTCGTATATATATATAGTTATATATATATACATAAGTTTTGGTTTCTATGCATATATATAGTTATATATATACATACATTATGGTTTAGCCAAAATGTGAAAATTCACTATCTCATATTTTCATATTTTGGACTATTTTGTAAAATGATGATATTTTTCATTTGGGAGGTCCTTTCTAATAACCAGTTACTATAGCATGTTTATTATCATGTCCACAATCATTCCCCAAAGTTTTACATTTTTTGGAATTTATTTGATATTTTTAACCAGTGTTTTAAAATTAGCATAACAGTTTTTCTGCTATGTCAGTTTTCGATCGACCGCACCGGTCGACCGATCATTTGTTCTTTCATCACCATGCAGCAGAGAGTTGGTCGGTCGACTGGTGCGGTCGACCGAGACCTCCATCGGTCGACCGATAGAATTTCCGGTCGACCGACAATAGATCCGTTGCACTCCAACGGCTATTTTCTGAGCTGATTTTTCTGGGGCTTTTTGGACTTTTGCTTGGGGGTTTGGCTGAGATTTTGAGTGGGTATAAATACCCAATTGATGTTCTCTTTCAACCAAACCAAGAGAATTGTTTAGAAAAGTTTAAGGGTGTTTTGTGTTTGTTTAAAAGAGTGTTTAAGATTTTGGTTTGTGAAGATAATTTCACAAGGGCTTGAGGAGATAATCTTTGGTGTTTGAGCTTCAAATCATCTCTCTCTCACTCTTGTCATTTATTGGAGAAGTTTTCTAAACTCAATCTAGCTTTACATTTTATTGTTTGATTATCATTTTATTAAGCTAGTGTTTATATTGAGTTTAGTTGATTTTATTTATCTCTTTGTACACACACAACCATTGAGCTTATTGTATATACATTCATATTATAATTGGGTTGTGGGATTGTGTAACTTAGAGAGTGAGCTTATAATTCGTTCTCATTCATTATAGAGAACAAACACTTTGTATTGAGCCTATTTGTGAGGATTCACTTGTAATACACTTGTATACCGAGAGAAGTGTGTGGTGAGAGACGGGGTCGAGTCCAAGAGGAGTGGCATCGGTTGACATGCCTAGGGAGAGGTTGTAACCGAGCACTTGAGGAGGAGGACACGGGCTAGAACCAACACTTAGTGTGTGAGGTGTGATTGCATAGTGATTGTATTGTGAGGTGTAAACGTTGTTCGGGTGAACGTAGAAAACCCGGTTGTGATAGTGGAGATCTCCTCGAGGTGAGGAGCGGAGATGTAGGTCGTGGGGACCGAACTCCGTAATCAAATTGTTTGTTTGTGATTGCATTGACGCACTTCCTTTTATGTTCATATCTTATATCGCCTTTGTATATTACTTGTTGATTATATTGCCCACTATCTAGTTTAGATTGTTTACCCTTGAGTTTATATATATATATATCCTTGCACATACATTGCCTATATCTCTTTGTTAGGATATATCTTGTTGTTCATATTGCTTATCCTAGCTCATATACATTGTTGTATTTCAAACTTGCTAGGATAACTTGTTAATATATTTTAATTTGCATTTAAATCGGATTAGATTAGCATAAGACCCTAATCACCCCCCCTCTAGGGTCTAACACTTTTCAGTACCTGTAGTGTCAATAACAAACTCCTTTCTCGGGTAAAGCATGGATTTTTTTATCATAAGTAACATCCCTACTAATAATAAACTTAGGTGACTTAGGATCAGAACACCAAAATTTATATCCCTTCACCCAAGTAGCATATCCTAGAAAGATAGTTTTCTTTGCTCTAGGTTCAAGCTTATCATCATTAACATGAAAATAAGCAAAGCAACCAAATACTCTTTAATGAGAGTAATTAGCAGGGGTACCATATCATACCTCTTTTGAAGTCTTGAAATCAATTGCTGTAGAAGGTGATCTATTTATCAAATAGCAAGCTGTATTGACCGCCTCTATCCAAAAGTCTTTTGACAAACCGGCATTAGAGAGCATGCACCGAGCCCTCTCTAAAAGTATTTTGTTCATCCT